GGCAGCATTGTAGGCCTCGGAGACTTACAATACTCACACGTGCCTGCACCTGCCTGGTGTCGAGAATTGCCTCTCGCATGTCAGTGATGCTGTGATGCTTGGTTGAACGCAAAGGCCTTCAAGCTGAATCTTCTCAGCTCAATCCAAAACCTTTGGAACAAAAGGAAGGCCCCTTCTTGGAGATCGCAGGTTCAAACAAGCGCGACAAGGCTGGTTCCAAAGGAGCGAATGGTCGACCCTGCGACGCCAAGCGGCCCAAACTCCAGCAGATCTCCAGTTGCTCAAGGAAGTCAAAGCAAATCTCCAGCAGGACCCCTTCTCATAAGCACTGCATACCTGCTTTGCGAACAGGCATTCATTTTGAGAACATGCCCCATTTCTCTGGAAGGTATGTGTAAAGAAGTTGATCTTCAGTGCACTTGGTCTGCACCAGCCTGGGAAACTTTGGTTCCAGCCCCAGCATCGAACTTCAGAGAAAAATCAGCATAAACTGAGGACTCCATGAACCCCAAAACCGCACAACTTCAATCCAAGCGACAAGATTCACTGAGGCACTGTCCAGCTGCAGCCCAAGTTGAGCTGCGTCACCCAGAACCTCCAGGGCAGAAAACCAGGCGGCTGCCCTGTTGCATGCACCGGCAGCGGCATTGTAGCAAATGACATTCGGCCGTAAACCTAGCAGCGAAAAAGCGAACAAATCAGCAAAAGCTACTAGTAACAAGTGCCTTACTGGTAGTAACAAGAAGCTACTAGGGGCTCCTGGCATCGCTACTAGTAACAAGAAGCTACTAGTAACAATGATTGACGTCACGGTCTCCTTCCTTTCTTTGCCCATGCGCTGGTATGCTGTACATGCTTCCAGGTGGGAACTTGGTATGACTCCGATTGTGTGTCGCGCGAGGCAACCCCCCAACCGATATTGTGCTCTCTTGCTCACGCGGCTTTCTAGGTGTGTCTTCAACTGCTACATCTTCAATTCAAACAAGGGAGGCTTTAGAGTCATCTCAGTTGCTCAAATCATTTAATCCTTCAAGTTATGTTGAAACTCATTGTAACTCCAAATATCTCCACATGTGAATCTTGAAACAACAAGTTCCTGATTGCTGCAGCTGTTAGGAGGCCTTCACGACTGTCAACTACCGTTATTAGAGCCTACCTAGTCAATCCATCGACATCTACAGCACCGGCACCTGCTGGTCTTTCTCTGCGCAGCTGTTGGATGGCTTCCTGCCACAGGTTCCGCTGTCCCAAAACAGCCACTGCCACCACCAAGTCCTTGGGAACGATCAGACCCGAAGAGAGCTGTCCCTCCAATCTCGACATATGTCCACACAAGTAATGTTGACCTCTGATTAATAAAGGCCCCCAGAATAATATCTTTTTTCTAAGGGAGTGTAGTGGGATATGTTCCCACAGGGGGAGGGGTCGTTGTAGTGGGATATGTTTGATTGTTATAGATTAATGTTTCCCCTTTGGAGTTTGCTGGGATTTAGTCATTTTAGAGGCCTTTGGATTGATATTTATAAAGATTTCTAGTAAAAATCTGGAGATGTCCATTGAGAACTGGTGATGTTGAAGGCCTTTGGATGCAGATTTCTATTAAATTGTTAGAGATGTCCATTGAGAATTGATGGTTTTGCACGTCTTTGGATGCAGATTTCTCACATTATTTGCAGGGGGGCCTAGAATAATGTCTAGAGAGTTGAAGCTTCAAAAATATGTGGACTGCAGGTTTAAAAGAACTTATCTTTATTCATGTTCTTTTCCCATTGATTTGCTGTACTTACCTTCTATTCCTTTACTTTGTTGTGCTGCTGCTCTTGCTGTTCCTGGCGTTGCGGATGTCAATTAAAAGTTTGAAGGGTCCCATTGAGATTGAATGATTTTGAAGGTCTTTGGATTCAGATGTCCATTGAAATTTTGAAGAGTTCCATTGAGGTTGAATGATTTTGCAGGTTTTTGGATTCAGAGTTCCATTGAAATCTATATAAAGAGTTCCATTTCCATTTCCACTGATTCCCTATTTATTTTAGCAATTTTAGTATCTAAGTAATGATTCTAATTGTTTTAGCAATTGATTCGTTTTCTAGCATATAAAATATATATATAGAGATTACTTTAGAGGCCTTGGCTGTTGAAGGGGGAGGGGGTTGATTAATCAAGAGTTACAGAGTTACTGCCATTGATAAGCCGAATTTCACGCAAAGTTCGTTTCAGTAAATCCCGCTTTCCAAGTTGTTTGACTTGCCCCATCCCAGAGTGATGTCCAACCGGCTCCTTTCGGGAAGCCAAAGGAAGCTGCAGGAGATGCTCGGTCGTCGCCAAGAGCTGGGCGACTGGGACCACAGGCTCCTCCGGCTCCGCGGCGCGACGAAGGTCTGCCAGAAGCTCCTGGGCAAAACGGAATAAGCAAGCATCCCCGCAGACCAGGGCCATGGTTGGCATGCTTCAATATGCTTCATCTTGAAAGTTGGGAGATTTCAGGAACTATCAATATCAATTCAGTGGAAGAGAAGCACACATATATTTGATTCTATCAGTGTTACATTGACCATCGTTGATCTCCAGTTGCACTCCAGCACACAAAGCTCTTTTGGCCCTCAGCGTGCAAGGTCCTTTTGTATTGGTATTTGGACTTTGGAATTTGAAGGCATGCATTTTAGAGAAAATTGTTTTAGATATTTTTGAAGATTAGGAGATGGATTGTGCTCTACCCGAGCCAAGGTTCGCCCTGGCACGGGTGCCTATGAACCTTGTGTACATACAGCAGAGCTGGCCTATGAAACAAAAGCTTCCGTCCATGCACTGCAAACGGTCCGACGGAAATGCCTTGAGAAGCTGGTGCGGCCTCAAGATACTTTAATGCACCATGACATGGTGCCGTCCCTCGGTCACGTGCATTCCACGCCCTTCAGGCCACTCAAGTTTCTTCCGGAGGGTAAAAACCGCCCAGGAGCTGAACGGCTTTGGAGTGGAAGGCCTCTCGGACCACCGTGCCGCCCATGATCTTACGGTTGGGACTGCTCTTCCTATCTGCACGGCCATGCAGCACACGCCAATTGTCCAGGATCAGCATCTGCCCCTGTGAGATTGGAACCTCCACTTCAAACTCTGAACCGTGGATCATCTCGTTCCACAGCAGGTATGCGTCATACCATTCCTGAAACACCTCATAGGGCACCGTGCTTGGGGTTCGAAAGACCTCATTGAATTGAAGACGGATCAAGTTGCCCTGCGCATCTGTTTGGATGATCGGGCTCCTTGTAGCGAGCAGCATGGATTGAGTCCCTTGCTGTGACGAGTCGACCCGCGACTTCACAAAATCTCGCTCTTGGCAGTTCCCATACCGCGTCAGCTTCTGGAAAGCCTGTGGGTGTCTCTCCCTCAATGCTTCAGCGACTGCATATCCATCGACCAAGGTATTCACACCACTACCTTCCACATAGTTCACCACCAAAACCAAGGCAGGAATGCCATGCGCAGGGACTGATTGGTCCGTGTGATTGTGGAGGCGCTTTTCCTGAGCATAGCTGACACTTACAGCACCAGCCTTCTTTTGGATCACCCAATTCGGCTCCTCTCGAGCTGGGTCCTTTTGCATACCCCCAAGGCAATGATTCACAAAGTCCAGCAAAATGCTAGAATCCTGAGAGTGCGGCACATTGTCTAGGATAACAACACCGTGCTCCATGACAGCCTGCATCATCTCCAAGTTTGCAGAGTCCGAATGCCTCACCGTGTGGAAGTCCCGATGCTCAAACTGATCAGTGACCCCTTGGTTCTTCCAAAGCTTCTTCAGGCAAAGATCTGGTGCTGGTGCTCTCGAGAAGCCTGAATAGCCTCGAAGCCAATGAAAGTCTTCATTGCGGGGATGATGGCGCTGGCCCTCCAGCACCTTCCCTGCAACAGGTGCATACATCCTCAAGAAGCCACTGGAAAAGTGGCTCATGCCTTCCCCAAGTTGAGGATCACCTTTCCAAGCTACTTCCAGGCCATCCTCGCAGAGTCTCAGCTCCTCGACTTCCCCACTGCTGTGACGCCCCTCGGGTGAGAAAGCGATTTTGTCAAGGTACCTCTCACCAGCCTGTTGAGAAACCACCACGGCATCTCTGCACGAATCCCGGAGCCAGCGGCCATGCAACTCAAAGGCAGAGCCATCTCCGAATCCTACACGGATCTGCTTTCCAGCATTTAGAATGGATGCTGTCACGCACTTGGCTCCATCAAAGGGGGCCACTGCAGCATGCACAGCTGCCACTGTCGACTTGTGAGCTCTTCCCACTCGAAAAGACCGGCACACCCTCATTGGCCGACGGGGCTTCTCCTTTGAGCCCAGCTTCAGGACGAAGACGTTCACGGGCTACGCAAAGAGTGATGCAAAGCACATGTAATTTATACCTTTATGATACCTTTATGTTGTATAATGTTATACAGTATATATATATATAATATACATCGTATGTGAGCTTCACAACTTATGAAAACCTCATTGACACGTATTAGTATTAGGTGTAAAAAATGAAAGCACATGCACTCTGGATCAGGCCGAAGCCTCCCGCCTTCCGACTTCGATGGGCACCAGGCATGGTGCCGGGTCCCAGTGCACCGCGGTCATGTCTGCCATGCCACGAGAAGAATCCGGTGGTGCGCTGCACTGAAATCTAAAACCGCAGCCAACGCTGGCGATTGCAAAGCGCAATCTGACTATTCGGCTATTCTGAAATCGGTATACACACAGACAGATTATACATAACTATATTATATATATATATATAACACAATTATACGCTGCATGATGCTGGGCCTGGGGCTTGAGCCGTCGAATGCATGCTGAATGTGTGGCTTGCCAGTGTAGTGTGCCGCCTGCTCATCCTACTCATTCCCGCAAGGGGAGCCTACGATCTGCCTGGAGAACTGGAGATCGCAACTGTAGGGCACGTGTGCATAATTGAATTCGACCATCTCAGGACAACACATGACTCCAGCCATTTTCCACCCGCCTGACACTGCTGGAGGCCATGTGTAGCAGCCCTGAGGCGCATAGAGTTGAGCTGCAGTCCGCCCGTGTGACCACGCACGGTTGCGAGGGCCGTTGTTGTTGAAAAGTTCCAGCCAAGCCTTTTCCTACCTCTTTTCACCAGTTTCGGGGCGGATAGGAAGCCGGTCACAAATGTTACGGAGACAATTGCAATCAAGTCCAAAGCCAGCATCAAAGCTCATGACAACAGATCATGTTCATCATGCAGTGCACTTTGTACGTCATGCTCCACGAACGCTGCTTCAAGAAAGCCACCCCAGTCAGCCCCGCCTCATGTCCTTGCCATCCACTCCTCGGACAGCTCCGCTCACCGCTCGGAAGTTGAGGAGCCCTTTTACACAATTCTTTGAGTGTTCTTAGAGCACAAGCGAAGGAGATTTACAACAGAAAACGATTACCGCTCGAGAGGGTTCTGCAATTCAGAATGCTCACATGTCACGAGCCTACCAGTTCCCGCAGCATCTGGAGATAGTGTTCCTGTCCACACAGCTGTGGTTAGAAGGCTTCATGTGGGCCCAAGTACGTTTAAGGCCTCTTTGCAAGTTCCAGTCGTGTAGAGTGCCTGGCATGCAGGCTTTGCACGTCACAGCAGCTTCCCACCGTTACAGCAATGCAGCACCCAAAAGAACATAAAAGAACAAAAGGATACAAAAGGAAGAATCAAGTCAAACAGCACTAGGTCACTAGGACGGATCGCCGGACCCTTCACCGCAAAGCGTCTCTTGGCATCAAGTGTGACAAGTGACAAGCTAGAACTCAATTATTTCAAACAACGCCTGCGGCGTACTCCGACACAAAATCAGCAAATCAGCAGTTGTTCAGCCAAACATGAGCCAAACATACAACAAGCTACACGCAAAGCAGGGGGCGGACGCAGCTGCCAAGTTACCTGACGGCGCATGGTGTCTTTGTGACCCTCGTGAATAGCCAAGCTATGGGAACACACTGCAAATACTTACCTAACACTCTGATTCACATCTTCCTCCATGAGCCGTCCACCATCGACCCTCCGCCTCCTGCTCAGCCACCACCAAATGCCCGCTTCTAGGCAGCACGCTGACCCCATGGGCATCAGCCTTGCGCAACTCATCAGAGATGCTACGGTCCCTCAGGCCTTGGCTCCAAGGGCGCATGTTTGGGGCCGAGCCCATGTTCTTCCATGGCCCATGAGACGACCAACGCGGCCAAGGCGCGGACGCGTTTAAATCGCAGACCGTCAAGGCTTGGTTGGCCAGTAGAGCCTTGATGCAATTGAAACTTGCCGTGCACGATGACCGATGAAAATTTTGATCGGTGGGCCCATCCAGGCATCCAAACCGCTCTTCTGGTATTCCTGCCAGCTGGGTAGCAAAGCCAGCGGCTGCCTCCAAGGCAATGAAACTGCAGGGTAGTATGGGGAGAACTTCTGATAGGGAAGGGAAGGTGCCCTAACATGTCTTCCAGCCTGGGTCCAGTTGCATACCTCGCGAGGCCGGCAATACCCACCGAGGGACATCTGAGTCCTGGCAAATCATTACCGGAGGCAAAGCCCTTAGCACCTATCCTACAGTCCTACACTACAGTTTGTCGAATTCCACTCAGCACAAAGAAGAGAAAAATAATTAGACCAGCATAGACCAAACAGTTTCAGCAATAACATTGTTAAGCGATGCAATGTTGGTGAGAACATTTGCAATTATATACCTATAGCCTCTAGCTGTTTGGGAACGGCACGTGCACAAAAATGATTGAAAACAACAGTTCCTGATGCCCGAGTCACATGTGAAAAACGAAGGAGGAAATCCGAGGATGATATCAAATTTGAAACACTGGATGCATTCATAGCCACACGAAAACATACCTGGACAAGGCGGGGGATAAAGAAAAAGCGGCGTGGCGAAGCAGCGGACAAGGCCCAGACAAGGCTGTGGCAAAAGGGCCGACAACGTGGACAAGCAGGACAAACAGACCCGAACAAGGCCCGGCCAAGCAGGCATACAAACCCGGACAAGGCGGCGCGGCCAACAGAACAGACAAAGCCTGGACTGGACAATGACAACGTAAAATGTTTTGGGAACAAGGGGAGGACAGAGGGTTTGCCAGCGCGGCCTAAGAACAGAAGGACACCAAAAGGACAAGGGGGCACAGGGCCGAACAGGACAACACCCGGACACAAGGTTTAAGGGCGCGGCCAGAGACTGTGGCCGGCTCCTTTTTCCTGAGAGAGAATTTGAGCGTCAATCTGATTGGGGGATAAGACAACAAAACAGATTCCTCTGAACTTATATATGTTGTGTTGTCTATGCGTCCCATTCTTTTCTGCACTTGCCATTAAATGGTCTTAAGTCTTGGTGTGTTTTTCCGTGCTCCTTGAATGTACGAGCTATGCAGAACGCACTCACCAACGCGCAAACTTGGCTTCATTCCCTGCAATCACGGCGACTTCAACACCGTGAGACGCTCCTCCAGCCAGCAAACCAACAGCGGGCCAGAAGCCATGTCGCAACATAAGAGCTTTCCAAAGCAACATCTACTGTAACTCATAACTCAGTAGTCGCACCTGTCAAACTGGTCTACTAGTCTAGGGTTTTGCCGGGTTCGTATCGATGTTACAATTATGATTGTTGCTAATTATGATTGTTGTATTTTGTTGACGCTGCTCGGTGAACATGGACAGCGTCATTAGCTGAGTTGTCTATGTTGCTAAACCTCATTAAAGCTTCGATCGACCTGCCGTCATGCCTGTTCAAGAAGCATGATGATGCTTTGAAAGCAGTTGTGCGCACTGTGAGTTAAACCCATTTGCTTGAACCACAAATTCAGTGCAAGTGCTGCTAACGCCACTGAGAGAACATCTCCTACTACAAGACCCCTATGGCCCTCAAGCATCAAAGTTTCTCATGAGAACCACCCCACTCAAGCAGAAAACAAAGTACAATGGAGGACATCTGTTGGTGGATGGCATAGACAAAGCCATAACAGCTTGCATACCAGCCACCAGCAATGACTCCTGAACTTATCCTCTCTCGAGAGTATTGACAAGGTTCACCTTGCAGCAGTAGCACAGCAAACATGGTGTAGACTTGAGAGAAGGGGGTGGACGAAAGGTTGGTAAGCAAGGACGGGTGGGTAGCAGCAGCAGCAGGAGCAGCAACAGAAGCAGCAAACCAGCAAACCAGAAGACAATGGAAACCATAAGACCCCAAAATCAGGTCCCAGGACTTGCGCAAGAGACCCGGGTGCTCCCCATACACCCCTTGATACCCTGCGGTATCGGGTATGAACGGGGTGAACAAAAGAAATGAATGTACGAGGAGCATGCGGCATGATTGTTTCATGACCACCACTGAACTACAATGTCCCTGTGTGACACGGTCTGATACCTAGTGTCACGCGGATCCCGGCATTTAATTGGCAAAGACAAGACAAGACCATCGAAAAATGCGTCCAATATGTGGCAGCATCTCACTAATCAGATCATTTGGGAGGCCTTCGTCCTTGGGCTAAAGCTAATTGGACTCAGGTTGCCTGAGGCCACCTTATGACAACATGAATAACAAAGAGAAAGTTTTGAGAAGTCTACCAGGGTGAGAGTCTCGCAGAGTGCAGGGTGGAGAGTGCAAGGTGGAGCTCCTGGAGTCACGCATAATTACTGCCCACCCCAATTTTTCAGTCTGACGAAGAGTGAAGCTCGGAATGCCGCTGGCAAGACAATGCCTTCTTTGACGGCAAGCAGTGCCAAGCTATGATCTCAAGTATCCCGTGCGCCGTTTTGACAATCTCTGATCTCATCCTAGGTCCTTATCTTCCGGGAATGTAACCTGAAGCACAGCTTGCTGTTCTACATGTGCCACCGCTCAGCTCTGCTGCGGCTGTTCAGCAAACACGATGCCTGCCATCAGGAGGCGAGGATTTATTTGGTGACATGAAGCATTGTGCAACTGCCCTGCCCCACCCATAAAGCAAATAATCTCCAGCGTACCAGCTCATTAGCCTACAACCCAGCAATTCCGGGACCTTGTTACAAATCTCTTGGACCCAGGACTTCTTTAGAACAAATATTATAATCCTGGCGCTCACCGTAATAGTAGACCAGCAAACAACGCGGCGGGCAAAATGCAAACGGTAACTCACGACGGGTCTAAACTCACAAAAACTACAAGTAATATGCTAAGTGTTGCATCCGCATGTGCCCTTGCAAACTGTTCTTCTCTGAGACCTTTTTCCCGAGCAGCCGCTTCTATTCGCACATTTCGGTCGTTGCAGTGGGCATACAATTGCCCATTGGCACCGCTTGGAGACCCATCATGAGCACCAAGAAATTGGGCAGCCAGTTGGCCAGAAAGTGTGAAGTCGTTGCCACCCTGTGGCAAACATGCCACAGTAACCCATAAGGTTGGGGATGGAAATCATCCAAAATGCCATCGATCAAAGGCTTGGATGATTTGGCTGCGCTTTGGACACCTCATCACCCGGTTCTTCACGCGCTTCTTCAACCAAAAATTGATGCGTGGCTCTGGGCAGGGCCGATCGAAGAAGAAGACCTTCGAGTGAATGACAACTTGAGCAGCAATTTTTTGGACTTGTTGACAGAGCATGCCTTGCGTCCTCATCGTGTTGTTTCCTTTGTTCAATATCTTTGGCTTCTTCATCAACTTGACTTATATATACAAGAAAGAAGCTACTAGGGGCTCCTGGCATCGCTACTAGGAGCAAGGACGCTACTAGGGGCTCCTGGTCGTACTACTAGGAGCAAGAAGCTATTATTAGGAACTAGGAACAAGAAATGTCACCAGTTCTCTGTTTGTTTCACCTGTTGTGCACGTGCTCACGCCTCAAGTGGGCCCAACGGGACCGCTGTCAATGTCCGCCTCCGATTTCCTCCTCCGCAGTTGTTCTTCCAAACGTCGGAGCTTGCCCTGAAGACGGTCGAGCAGCAGAGAGGTGGGTGTTTGACGACCCACCTGTGCCCTGCATCTCTCCATGCATGTCCAACCCTTTGCTGAAAAGAAGATAAAAGCATGATTCATATACAAGGACGCTACTAGGGGCGCTCCTGGCCTTACTACAAGGAGCAAGAAGCTACCAGTAACAAAGGGCATTGCTACTAGGACCAAGGAAGCTACTAGGGGCGCTCCTGGCCTTACTACTAACAACAAGAAGCTACTAGTAACAAAGGGCATCGCTACTAGGAGCAAGGATGCTACTAGGGTGGAGGCCAATAATTTTGGAATTGTCTTGGGGTCAACAGTCAACCTATTCGACGACTGTGACTATCCAGTTGATCTCTCTCTCTCTCTCTCCCATCGTCTTCGGACCAAAGTCTGCCCCAGCCAGGCTGAGGGCACTTGATTGATATCTGTTCTCTTATGATGCAGTAGTCATGCAATTTAATTATATATATATTATATATATAGATGTAGTTTAATTATAGTATTGTAGTCATCTCTACACTATGCACCTCATTCTTGGTGCGTCCAAAGAGCTGAGTTGGACCGGTTGGACTAAGTAAAAGAATCTTCGACAAACTGCAAATATGTTGAACAAACGTGATCAAAACCAATCAAGGTCCACTCCCCTACAAACAGCCAAAGGATGCCAAAGGTCGTTCACCTTCTTGCAGTCCCACAAGTTATCAGCATACCCGACTGATTTCAGACTTCAGATCTTTCAGAGTCAGATGAGGTGCGCAGACTTCATCACCTCCCCTTGCGCCATGGGAGATCCTTGGTCGAACCGGCCAAGCGAGCTCGACAGCATGCTGTCCCGTCAAGGCTTTCTCTGAGATCACACCCCTCAGTCTGACATGGTCAACTCCTTTGTCGGAACCATGATGTGATTGTGAAGCTGTGGCCAGTGCCAAGATTCATAGAGGCCTTTTGCAACCACAGCTCAGCTGCTTCTGCTTTTCCAGCACCAAGAAAGGCCTGCAAAACATTTGAACAAGTGAGGCCAAGTTGAACAAAACCCAACGCTTTTGTTCAGCTGGGAGGCCCTGTGCAACCCCTGCACCTGAATCAACCCACTATCTCTAGTGATAGTGATCTGGAAGGATGTCAGTCATCCCTGGAGAACGTCTGGGCAGTCCTTTGGTGAGTAGCTAAGAGAAGGAGTCATCACAGCCACCTGCCTCAATCACGGCGCCATAAGCGCCAATCCCCAGCTGAACATTGCGCTGCTCGAATCTTTTCAGTGTTGCTTCTGCTGCCTCAATTCAACCCTGAATCCTCAAACAACACACTGCACCAATCTATGCAAGCTGGCAACGAAGGTTTGAAGCTCCCACTGGCCAAAGAAGATCCAATGAATGGTCTTTAACTGATGCTCCACTCGCACAATGATGCTTAAGGCCACTTGTTGCCTGACTGTCACGCAGCGCAAGCCCCTGCGATACGGATTGCAGGCAAGCCGCAAATGGCCGCCTGGCCCTCGCATAGCTATTGATAACGGCCACCACCTTGCAAGTTTGGTCACATGCCACAGTCCGACCAGCCCAGGAAAAGGAGTGAGAAAGTAATGATGAAGCTGGAGCTGCTTGCTTGCGACTTCATGGTCTGAACATGCTTCAAATTGACCTCTTGTCTCTAGTTGAAAGTTCATTCAAAGCTGCTTGCTCACCCTCTCGTACGTCTCGTAGCAGAATGCTTGGCCGAGTTCTCTCTTGGGACCTGGCACTGGCCTCCGTGGGCGCAAGACGTTCCCGGTGCATCCTGAGGCACTTAAACTCTGTGACACTGTAATAAAAACACAGTCATGACTATATATAACCCCAGAACAAATTCTGTAAAAATACAAAAGAAAACCTCTGACACCTCTACATTTTACATCAAGAAACGCTACAACATGCAGTTTCACTGCATCAAGAACTTGACCCCGACTGCGCCGAATCCTACATTAGCAGGCTGAAACAAAACAGCTGGATGGCTCAGGATGCCGCAAGAACAACCTGTTATTGTTTTTCATTGCCCCTGTGCCAAGGATCATTGCAAGCCAACCTTCCGCTTCAGATGCATCCTGCCCCTCTGCAAAAGATTGAACCAGCATCTGGTGCAGCCTGCCATCATTTGAAGGCCTGACAGATGATCCGCGGGTGCGCTACGCCGTTACGCAAGATCCAGTCAAATTGAGTCATTCGGCATTCTCAAAAGGATGGAATATCAGCATTCGGCAACTACCCAATTGTTCCATATTATTCATTCCAACTGGATCTCTTCACCTGTTCTTTTTTCAACTGCGGCTTCAAAAACATCTCGAGTACAGCTACACAATGCACCCTGCGCTTATCAATAGTAGCCTGCTTTGCAACACCTGTTTCGCCAACTTTCTTGCTGCTTCCATGTTGCCCTGTGAGGCCTCAACCCAATCACTGGGAGCAGCCGCAAGTGCACACACCAGCCAGGAAAAAAAAAACAACTCGCGTGTGTCAAGGGCTTTGGGCTCGCAGCGGGCCGACATTCAATTCTGAATGCAAGTCTTCGCCGAGCAACATGAGCACAAATGAGAGAAATGAAAGCCATAGTGGGCGGCCTACGTGCAGTGGACAAACTATTGGGCTTGTATGCAAATAAACTTCAAAACTTCCGAACTGGCCTTGCATGATGCACAGGTCTCATTCAATGTTCTGGTCGTCTAGAAGGATTTCTACAACCCTATATTCCCATCCGCCTGAGCCCTGCAGACATCATGGTCGACATCAAGTCGTCGGCATCGTTCACCTGCTCAGCCTTGAATGATTATTCGACCAATGGACAATAAACCTCGAACACAGTGGGGCCTTGGCTTTGGTCCAAAAACCTCCTTTTCATATATACCCTGGAACCTCTGGACCAGCAAGGGGTTGGAAATGCAGCTCTTTGGCCAGCTTGAACTACAAAGCTTCTCCAATCATGTGCAAGATCTGAAGTACAATGAGATACAATGAGGCAATGTCAAGCGGCATTCTTCAAGCACAATCTCACCACGAAGCTGACACTGCGGGCTTTGGAGCTACCCGTAGTCAACCTGAGCCACCGAGGCAGTTGCGGTCAACGTCCCAACTGCACGGGCTCAGTGTGTCTCTGGCTCGCATCAGTCGAGCGTCTCAAGCCGTGGTAGAACATCACACCAACGTCTTCCCCCCACCAAGAAACCAAGATCGGCTGAACGCTCGAGGCTTTTGGCAACAACTCCAAGGGGAGGTGCCAGACTGGGTTCACCCCAGGCCTGGCACCAACAGTGGCCCCTCTAAAAACGCCACTTGGGGTGGAAGGATAGAAGCTGCAACTGCCACACCCCACACTGAGGCGGGCGGGGTCAAATTTTTGTTGCAGGACGCCTGTCAACAAACACCTGTTCAATACAGACACATCCTGACAAGGTCAAAAGCCATAGAGGTGGTGGGAACCCTCGGTGTGATAGCTAATGCGCCAATGCGCAACGCCCCCGTACAAAAGCAGAATTCAGCATCACAGTTTCCAACACCTTCATGCGCGCAAAGACTTCCAAAGACTCGAAAATGCGAAACGTTTTGCCATGCGCAAAGAATCTAAACCGCTGTGGAGTGACAACCTTTGAGTCCATCTCATCCACCGCATGGCCTGCCAAAGAATGCAAGCCCGGAACTCGAAGGTGGTTCCGAGGCCATTCTCAAACATATGCATCAAAAAGGAGTGTGTACATATGTGTCTATACATATATATTATAAATACATACGTGCATATAATTACATCTAGTACATATAGTATATCAAATATGTATGCAATATATATTTATATCATTGAAAGCATTCGAATATTCTATATATATATATACAAATATTTACATAATTCAATAGGCCCACATCAATACTCATTACAATCTACTACTACTACTACTACTCCTCCTCCTCCTCCTCCTCCTGCTGCTGCTGCTGCTGCTGCTGCTGCTGAACCGAGCCATGATCAGAAAACTTTCTGTCATCACATACCCATCCATGTTGTGCCTTGGATGTCTGCATCTTCTGCTTACATCGGAGCAGTTCAGTGGCCTCAATGCGCTCCAGCCAATAGCCGGCCTCACGGCGGCACCCGTGGCGCCGAGCGATCACAACATGCTCATCATGGGCAAACGGCAAACAAGGCTGCGGCTACCAGAAGTCTCACTTTACCGACATGAACGGATAACCCAACAAGTTCATGCAAATTCAATTGCTGCCATTCTGATCACTATGTATCAGGCCCCACGTGGTGGATAAGAACACTACTAGCAACAAATAGCCTTTGGCCGCTGGTTGAAGGAGGTACAGTAACAGAACCAGATCTCTCAAACAATCCCCATACTTGCCTTCTCAAGGGATGTTGCCGTGAAGCCGCCTACCGCAAGCCAAGCTCGCACGAGCAGAGCAGCCGTGTCCTCTTGAGCTTTGCTCTCAGGAGTCGACCTCATGACCAGATCCGAAAAACAGCTCAAACGTGGCATTGCAGCACCTGCACTGCATGAATAATATTGTTTAAAAGTGCAGAGTCAAATGTTTCAATGATCCGACGGTGGTTTGTGCTCTTCTGTCCAATTTCAGACAAGCCACTGGATCCACGCGCGGCCCAAATCATCTGCCCATGCCAGCTCGCCTCCTCTCACGTAGTCCTTCAGGGATTTTTCTTGCTTGTTCATCTGAGGATCTAAGGATGTCTTAGGTGACGGGGGCCCACCCAGGCTGGGACGGTGGTGACACTCTCTCTCTCTCTCTCCTGGACGATCCGCGCCAGGAGCACATCGCTGTGACCCGGAGCCAAGCGCAGAACCTCAGAGACATTCTCCGAGGCCTCGATGTTGCCAACATGGTCGGGGCGGTTCTCCTTGGGCCGGGGCCCGTGAACTTTAATGAGTGTCGGCCCGTCAGTGTTCCCCGCACATTCATGCACATTGGTTACTTGCAAAGGGATTTAACAAGACAGGCTCTGGGAGCAACATGACCCAACGCGCCACAAGTTGGTGAGATATGCCATGACATGCTCACATGTCAACTGCTACTTTCCACATCGAGTGAAATCCGACTTGGCCATGCTCCTTTTGTTGCGCATGGCGCCCGGATAGCCCTCTTGATGCTACGCATGGCCAAACAGCCCACAAAGCCAGGCGTGGGCGTGGCTGCCAGAAAGGTGTCGAAGGAGCCGCTGCGACGAAAGCGGACATGTGCATCGGCGGCCTGCAGGAGCGGATTGGCAAGGCAATCTTCTTCTTATGAAGAAGAAGCTACTATGTAGTAACAAGGGCATCGCTACTAGTAACAAAGGGCATTACTACGAGTAGCAATTACAACATCCAAGAACCAGCAAGTCTGGCTTGTCTGCTCTGCATGTTCTGTCTATTGTGTTGATTGGGGTGTACTTCTCGCCTTAAGGATCCTTAGGATTACTATATAAAGCTAGGATGTCCTGGACCTCTACATCGCGTTTTGCTTGCTTGATGCATGCATTATATACAGACATTGTGAGTGTTTTGGCATCAATGCTGGGAAGTCGCGTGTGATAGCTTTGCTACGTGGCATACAGTAGGAATGTTATTTTGGTGTTACATGCTCAATCGTTGCACCAAGCAAAAATGGCTGAATGAAACCGTCCAGATTTCACAAGTAGAAGCACCACTCTGAGAACGATTCAAATGCATGTCTAAAAGCACCTTGACAAACCACGCGAACGTGTATATATATACTTATTGTTGTATAACTATATATATATAGTTAATACAGGCTGCGGGAGGGCAACCTCAGCAACACGATTTGACTCCAGCCAGAGTCTTCCAATCTGACAAGTTGTGGGTGGCCTGGATGCCCAGCGCAGGCTCACTTCCATGGCTGATCAGCCGCCACACAGTTCCCGGCTCCATGTCGCAAAAAATGTGTGTGTGTGCAATAGTCATCGCCCACTTCAAAAACACTGCCAATGACGAAATCTCCAGGTCGTCGTCTCAGTACGCCACGCAGCCACAGCATGGTTCATTCTACATGTGCAGCTGTGCTTGGACCTCGTTTTTTGATCTCTCATGATCTCTCATTGTGTTCCGCTTGGAGCTTGCCCTTCTTTGGGCGAGGTCAAACCAAGAAGCTTTCACCTGTCTCGCCATCAGCAACCAGGAACAAAAGCAAAACACCTCCGAATCAAAGCTGAGTTTCGAAACGATGTTTCACTCAGGTGATGATGTGACTGCCTACTTCAACGAACAAGCAAATTTCAAGGGCGAATGGCACCTTCTCGCCGGAGCCCTTCAATCACCGCCTTGGGGAATTGCTCACGCTTCAGCTCGTTCTTGGGAACTAACCTTGGACAGCCGTCGGCGTGGCAGCCTGCCTCTTGTAGAATATGATTTGGCTTTTGAATTTTGGTGGTTACCACATATCACCACAACATCCACAACACATCATCTTATTGACAACTACATGCTTTCAATGCGATAGCTGGGATCTGTGTGTTTGGATGAATGCGACAAAAAATGAAATGTGAAGTGACCTCAAACTTACAGCAAGTGTTGTATGGCATGGATGATTTTGAAAGGTCATGAGAAGCTTGAATCTGGGATCGGTACTTGAAGCTCTTGTTATCAGCAGTTTGAATCTCAGCATGGATCGCAAGCAGTTCAGAGCCGACCCCGGCGTATCGGATTCAGTAGGTCTGCAGGTTTGACACGCCTTGCATTTGTCTACGGTCTACGAAGATTTTTGAGGTTCTTCGCTGCAATTTTGTTTCATGAACACTTGAAGTCTCTTGGTCAAGGGCTCGCCGCTGACACCCCGGCCAAGGCAAGCACCGGAATATAGCATCCCTCTTCTTCATCGACGACCATCCGCCTCGCCATCCAGCCCACGATATTCTCAACGGGAGTTATGCTCGAGTCTCATTACATCAACTGCACCCAAACGGATTCAAACTAGCCGCAATGACCCGGCATCCAACATCATCCAACAACGGAAACTGATAGCAATGGCGGGGGCCTGCTTTGAAGAGCGGATTTCTCGGCCGCTTCAGCCTGCAGTTCAGATGCAAACTAGGTACACGGCGGATAGACGGCCGTGGTGTAAATCAATCATGGTCGTGGGTTAATCATGTCGAAATGTGTGTAATTCCATTAGGAATGATGTGCTCAACGTTTCATCAGTGGAATCATGGTCAATTCCAAGCAGATTTGCTTGAAATGAGAGTTTCGCTGAGGCGAAATGCTGATTTCGAAGCATTTTCGAAAAAACTACGTACAGTAACTAATTGGGCCGTCGGAAAAAGTTGCGACTTTCAGTCTTCACAAGAGCTCCTCCAAGCGGCGCAAGAACTGAGCCGGTGTGGCATAGGTCAAGCTTTGGGGCAGCAACTGAACACAGCATCCACTTCATGCAGCAAGTGCAACCGAACGTTAACATGCCCCACCCCACCCCACCCCCCACCCCACCCCATTCCCACACGTAGCATCAACTTCACGCAGCAAGTGCAACCGTACGTTAACATGCCCCACCCCACCCCACCCCACCCCCCACCCCATTCCCACACGTAGCATCCACATCCCCCTCAAGCAAACATGCAAAAACGACAGCGTAGAAAACGAACAATCAATAAAAAAGCAAGAAAACACCATGGCCGTCTATCAGCCGTGGGCCAACTACATGTGGCCAGAATTGTAAGCACTTCTCGCGAAGTTGTACAATTATGTACAATTATATATAGGAGCAAGGACGCTACTAGGAGCTCCTGGCCATACTACTAGGAGCAAGAAGCTACTAGGAACAAAGGGCATCACTAGTAGGAGCAAGGACGCCACTAGGAATAATATACATGTACAACTCCCAAGGGGCATGGATCGTATACACAGCGACATTCATCATCATGTTCAAAACCAACTGCTTATAATATGGCATGCCGATTCCACCCGCCTCCTTGTGCCATGGATTTGGAACAAGGCGTGTCATGGCGGTGACTGGATCTGCGGCTCTATCTTCTTGAGCCTCAGCCTTTGCGATTGCCAAGGCCCATCTCAATCATGCTACGTACTCAATTTGTGGTAGCGAACGTGTTTTCCACCTCTGTGACAACCCGAAGCTGTCATATTGTATGCTGCCACCTAACAAAAACCCCGACTGGAATCGCGACAAGAACTGGAAAGAGCTTCGCAAATAGTGACAGGCAACAAAATGTCGACAACTCGTGTGCTCCATCGCAACGTTTTCCAAACAATCCAGAGAACAGTCAGATGTCTCAAAAGCGCGCATCGGGAACAAAGCCTGGGGCCAAACCTCGGCATCACCACACACATGCACCGGAAGAAGGGGTCCCAACGACCTCTCATCAGCCATGGTGACCTGGGAAACTAATGGAACCTAAACATTTGGTGACATCGGCACAGTTGCCCCGCCCAGCTGGATGTGGGTAGTTTGCATTGCTAGCGAGAGGCGAGCACCCAAAGCTGACTGCAACTTCTCCGTGGCCACCTCAATACTCAACCAACTGAAAAAGGGTATTGGCTTGAGGGAAAATCTGGACCCCAAACGATTGAATTGTACAGGATCTATCGAGTATAACTGGGGAGAGTGGTCAAGGAGACTGAAAGGAGACTGAACTGAACACCCTATTGCTCCTCTCACAGGTGACCGGTGCCCTGCCAGAGGGCCACATTGACACTGTGCCACTAAGAAGTATTGTCAACAACCGGTTTTCGATTTATCAGTCTAAACAAGGACATGAATCTGTCCCCCTGGTGTCTATGACTTCTTATCTGGCCAACACACCTACACTTCACAATCCTTCCATAGACGAGGGCTTCTCTTATAAGCATTGGAGGCTAGAAAGCATGCAGGTTTTAGCTTTAATGTTTGCATGACATGCCTAAATCAAGTACCTAGAAGTAACGTATAGTCTACTCTATTGATTGAGGACTCTCAGTTACCCCAAGCCGTCAACTGATGCACCAACTTTTTCAGGATTGGCAGCGAAACCACACATCACCCTCAAGGTGGTTCTTTTGCAAGACTGTGACAAAGTTACTTATATATATAGAGAGAGAGACTATATATATTATACCAGATCTGAGCCACAATTTGGTCCTCGTAACCTGCATTGACAATGCAAACCACGCCGCATATGCACCATTTGCAAGCGCCAAGGCCAAAGGCTTTCCACCAAGCCATGAATGAAGAAAACCTGCAGCAATCTACTAGACAAACAATTTGTCCAATCATTGTGCAAGCCTCACCTGGGTTAACTAAGTCCATCTTGTCATTGGGTCATGTGGTGGAGGAAGCATGTTATAGCATGCGGCGCGTGGACACTTCCTTTTTTTAGAAACCGCAACTACGCCACCATTCCATGCACGACTCAAGTCCTACAACGCAGCACCAGCTTGCAGAAGCAGCGAGGCAAAGCTATTGAGTACTCAAGAAATTTCAATGTTTAATGAAAGCCCCATCCAAGTCATTGCTTGGCGTTTCGAGATGTAAAGGTGAACCTTTGTGGTTTGCGGAACTTTATTGTTTCTGGCTGCTTCTGCTTGATATGAAGTCACCTCACACTTGCTTCTTCGGACCTTCCGTGGGGCCACTGACTTTGCAGCGTTGCTGAGCCGCACGTAGCAGGGCTTCCTGACCATTGTTTGATGGCCCTTCCCACACACACTCAGGGTTTTTCAAGCGGCAGGTTTCCGCTGCCAAGTTCTATGTTTCTGCACCCAGGGCATGTGCTACAAAATCACATGTGTGGGTCCCAAAGTGGCCTTATTTAGCCATGGATCTCACCACATTCGACCAGTAGCGTCGGGGCTCAACAACTCATGGAGGCATATTGCATCACCAGGCGTGCCTGGTGGTTGCGCTGTTGCAGGCTTCAGAGCTCACACTGGCTACAACCCCCAGAGAGAATAGGCAAGATGTATCACTGTTCCGTGCTGGCCTCAAAACAACACAAGAAACAGGTTAATCCAATAAGGAAACAACACAGCATCTGCTGAAGGCAGGACAGCCACTGCGTCTTCTTTGAAAGGGAATCCGCATTTGGGCAGACGGAAGGAAACACCCCAGATACACCGAAGTCAGGAACTGCAACGAAAAATCATCACAAACAAGAACAATCATGAACGCATAAATCAATATAAATCATAGAATGAATAATCCTCAACGCATGAGTCATATAAGAACATAATGTCATGAGTTGCATATGAACATTTGATAACATTTGGAGTCATATGTTCGCTCCCGGTTTCAATTGGCGCCGTCGACCTACAGAGTCATACAGAATCTCCGCGGAGTTGATGTGAGCGAAAGCCTCTCAGTATCCAGCATTATCGAAATCCCAGAAACCGATTCCTGTGCATGCTCGAAGCATTCACAGGGCCCAGCTGCGAAGATAAGGAAGTGGACCTGCATTGAAATTATAATGAACATCTGGCCTGGCAAGAAGCTTGGAACCACTGAAGTAGGTGCGGGGAGTGGGTCCAAATCTGAACCTACACAGTCATGGTCTCACCAGGCCGAAAGAGGGTCCACCATTTGCATGCAAGGTAGGTGTCCACAATTCACGCAAACACTGCCCAAGCACAGCTCTGCAGCGGCGATCTGTGTGGGTTTCAGTTTGACAGGTCTCCTCCTGGTTAACATCGCCACGTGAAGAATATTGCAGGGAATCAGACCCAGAAGGAAAGCATCAAACCCAAAAGAAACCCAATTTTGTTATTTTTTGGTGACATACATAAAAGAATGTTTTAAACACATTATATGACCCTCGATCACAAAATAGAAAGTCCGGAAAGGTTGCCTGCTACAAGCATGCTGTCAAGGTAGCGTGCTCGCGCCTTCACCCACACCTGACGGCCTCGGAGGCTGTTTCGCCTGGGGCCCGACGCTGTTTCACGTCCGCCGGTGGA